ATTGCAAATAACTGGGCCTTCAGGCCAATTCTTGGATTACATAACGAGAGTTCAAGGTAGGGCAATTGGTATACTGTTCTTCTTGAGCAAGCCAGAGAAACAGATGGTAAAAACGTTTTGCTTTTTAATTTCTTCCTGTTCCTGCATTACCTTCCCTGTGTTGGAGTTTTGACATTTAGATACTAGCCAGTGCCTGAGACTTTTTTTGTTTAAATAAACATTGGATACTGTGATGGTATTATTTAATGCTGAGGACTTATAGTGTGTCTCTCAGCATCCAAGATAAAGTTCCTACTCCAGGCCTTTGCTTTCTGAGGGAAATAAAATTTAGACCTCAAATGTTTCCCTTAAAGCACTGCAAATGCGTTAACAAGTGTTGCATTCAGCCATTGTTTTAATTGATGGTATGACATAACACTGCTAGGTTACTCTGAAAATGTCTGTTCTAAAGAAAACAGTTGTACATTTTCTTTAGGCAAAAACATACACGACTATGGCCCAAAACAATTCCTTTTTAAGATACGAACAGTGTGTTCTAAAGTCATGGTGTGTGACTCATCTATCTGCACATTTGCTTTAGTAAGTAACACAGAACTTTAATGTACTTTCAACCAAGCTGGTTAGGAATGGCTCACTTCAGTTATAAGTGGATTTTTTTCAAATGCATGTGTTTCATAATAAAATGTCTTAGCTTTAAGCTGGAAACACATTACATGCAATGGTAAGCCCTTTGTAGTTCTTGTTTACTGGGGGAAAAAACATCCTTCCCAGAAATAAATTGCAGGAAATGGTACAGGTTGATGTGTTCAGTAATCACTGATGGTATGATCTCTAAAGAGAGACTTTTTTGAGGGCCTTGCCTTTACAAGCTCAAATAAGACTTGCACTTTCTGAAAGAAAAGCATGCCCTAGTAAGGGTTCTATTGTATTTCAGTTTTAACCCAGTTTTCAGTGATTTTCATTTAATTCCTATGATTTCCTGAACATGTCAGCCTTGTGTTCTTATTTTTCAGGGAGTTCTGGATGACAATGGCATAGTACAAAAGTTTCTAGAAATCGGAAAACAAACCTGTGGAAGAGCTTAAACCAATAAAGTATAAGTATTTTATTCTGTTCAGATCAAGTAATTAAACACTGAGAAGTTCATCTTACCGATATATTAGGAAGGTCAATAATTGAGTTTATTCAAGTGTTTATCTACTTTCCTGTAATGTTGTCCAGAACAGTAATGATGTTCAATACGCAGAAGTCTCATCATTGAACCCATATATATTTTTCTGCTTATTTACTAAGGACATCTCAAAATGTCAGGAAATCCACTTTTGCTGCAGTAACTGTAATGATAGCAAGAACATAGGCTGCAAGCTCTAAATGCTAAGGACAGGGCTTCACTTACCCCTAACTACAGAGTGAAAATACAGAATTAGAGAGGTGATTGTTCCTATGCATTTACAATCTGGACACAAAGCTCCATTTAGCACAAAGCACCTTGTAAACCCTTAGAAAATGTTACAGTTAAGAGAGCCTAAACCCATGGCGTGCTACAATGTGCTTTCCTCAAAATGGAGGCAGTGGATTTAGAACAGGGATGATTTAAAAGTAATAGTTTGAGATGGGAAAGAAGGGAGTCACTGAAGAGAGATTTGAAGGGGGCAGAACTGGATATTGCTGTCAAAAAAAGGAAGACAATCTGGTTCAGATGCAGGAAATGGTATGATAGAATGCTTCAAGCCCAGAGTTGGATGAAAAGTATGAAGGCAGCAGTGAAGTAAGTGAAAAAAGCACAGATGTGGGTAAGAACCAGATTGTATCTTGAAGGTGAGAATAAGGAGGTCAAACCTAATGCAGGAAGAGGAAGCCAATGACAAGGTTCAAGAAGTGAAGAGATGACTTAGTAAAAGCATTTTTAAAGACTCTGAGAAAAGCATGGTCCATACAGTAGTTGGGACCCTTGGTATTACACAAGCTAAATTGCTTCTATGACTACAATCTTTTCTGACTTCCTCATTCTATTTGCATTGCTATAACAAACAGGTACTAGACGTTTCTAAACTATGCCTTTTAAATCGGAGAGGTACCAAGCCCAGAGCCCACTGGTATTTGTACTGAAAGTATTGCCATAACCATCAGGGTGCAGAGGTCTAATGTGAAGATTCCCTATTATGTTCAAATATGCAACATACCATTATACGGTACTTTGGCTGAAGCCATAGCTGTTTAACACAGTTTGCAGCCTGCTGTTTGCATTTTTGCTGGATTTGCACAAATTTTAGTGAACTTATTTACTGAACTTTTTCAGGCTTTCACATTTGGAAGAGAAAACTGCTTATTGCTGCATCTGCTTTTGGTCCAGAAGAACTACTGCTCCTGCCATTTCCCGTTTCCAAAACACCCATCACCAAAAAATACAACTTTCAAAACTGGTTTATCCATTTTCATCATCTTTATTTTCAGTCAAAGGATTTTGAATGTTCACTACCAAAACAAAACAAAGAATCCCACCCTCTGCTCCTGTTGTCACGCCCAGCTGGCCTGTTGTGTGATTGTCAGCAAGTCATGATTGGGAATGGTTAAAATCAGGATCTAATTCAGCTACAGCTATTGAACTAGAAGCAGGAATTACTTCAGGGAAGTCCAGCAGCCTGTGTCTATGCAGGAAGTCAAAATGCAGGTTTGTAGAAGTCCCTTTTTGGACTAGAATTTTTGGATCCTTCTCTGTTTAAAAGATGATGTTCTTTAATTCTCACTCAAGAAAGCAAGGTAGGAAGTAGTTCAGGTCCATACACCACAAAATTACAGACTGGTTCCCACGCTAGCTGTCCAGAGCAAAGATATTACAACTAGACCAACGTGTTTTCTAATAAAATATTGCTTACTCTTGACATTTTAGTTGCTTTGCTAACTTACAGGGATTTCCAGACAAAACTGGAATAGAATCTCAAACTAGCTTATCACATCCCTTTGCTATGATCTGGTTTATTAGAAAGTGAAAGAAATTAACAGGAACTTCTTCACTGTTGTCTTTTAACTGCCCCTGATTCTGCCGCTGAATCATTGTAGCCTTAGACATATCCACTCTACCTCAGGTTTTCCCTTTGGTAAAACCGAGATTATAATACTTGCCTAATTCAGTGAGGTTTAATTTCATGCTTGTAAAAGAGTTGTGTATAATGCATTTTATCAAGTATCTCAGAAGCACTAGTACAGCAACAATGCTTTTAACTAAAAATATTATAAAGTGAAAATGCTCTCTCAAGTTTCCTATTTCAGCCATAATTACACTGAGACATGACTGAACCCCATGCTTCAATTGGTGTAAGGCAATTTTATGAATTTCACAATCTAATCAACTAGAGTTGTGAACTCTTAATAGGAGTTGAACCTAAGTCAAAATTATTAGGCAACTTTTCCAAGAGAACTATGAAATATTTTTGCATAGATATGAAGCTGTAACTGGTATTCTTCACACCTGGGCCTAATCAATTTAATTAGTACATATTACTGTATGCTGTTACAGATGTTGTTTGCCACCAGTGAGATGACTGTATTTTAGTAGTTGACACAGTGATACCTGTACATGTAAAATTAGGGGGGTACTTTGGGAGCCTTTTATACCAAGGCTGGTATGGATACTGTAGTTGAAATGAGGTTCTGGATTTGATGTGATTTCCATGTTATATGAATTAGACAGTTAGGAAAGTTTCAGTAATAAGATCTGGATTCCTGCTGGACTCTTTATTATGAGTTGACAGTTGTACCGTTAAGTAACTAGCAAAATTTTACCTAATTTTGCCAGAAAAATTGTGACCCCTGATATCACAGTGTGGCTGTTGTGTGCAGCTCTTTCTTAGATAATTTAAGGTTTAAAAAATAAGTCCCCGTTTTATTAAGTTTTTCTTTGTTGGGTCCATTTGGCCAATGTTTTCTAACCTACAATATTTAGGCTTACACCAGTTGCCAAAGAAAGGGCAAAATACATTGGGAAACTTGCCAAACATCGAAGCACAATCAGCAGCAACAGGGTACAACAAGGGAAAGAGAGATGAGGTATTTAAGCTGGATCGAACCCTGAACAGGGTCCAATTAGTAACGAAAGGTTATTTGTCTTCAGTCCAGTTCTTAATTCAAAGAGCTGTTTTGACGTTTCAGTGCCATGTTTCTTCACGAGGGCGCCAACCCCGCAAGTTGAAGGAAATGTAAGTCGAACTCCAGAAAAATCATTACATGACACCCAAATTCAGGGTGGGCTTCCTCATCTGTCGGTTTTGAACCCACCAAGGTGCGTGGGCACAGCGATATTCTGGGCCATGACAAAGCAGAGGACCTCGCTGCCTGGGAGGGTGCAGGACTACCAGTTTTTACCACTGCTGGTTTCCCCGTGCCCTGTGCGCGCCCTCGGGCTACGTGACCCTAACAGTTGCGGGTCCACAAGTGTCCTTGACCCTCCCATAGGCCCCCAGGTGACGTGGGGGTAGGGTGGCCATCAGACGACAGTCTGGTTGTCCTCTACTGATACGAAACCCGATGCCTTTATATCCTCTATTTTTCTCTTCAAGAGAAGCCATAAAAAAAGAGCACATAAGGGCGTCAGGTTTCGTATCAACAGAGCAGACAACCGGAGCGTCCTCTACGATGGCCGCCTTACGCGGGGTGTCCGTCCCTCCCCGCTCAGCTCCTGGGGCCGGCCCTTCCTAGGGTATCGGCAACCCTCCCCGGGAGGCCGATCCGCCCCGGCTCCCACGAGTGTTGCTGGCCCGAGAGAGGGGACACCCAGCCTGAGAGTCCGCGGACAAGATGGCCGCCGGCCGGGGCTGCCCCGCCACATGGTCCCTGGCTGGACCCGGCCGCGCAGCGCTCTGCCGGGGGTGCGGGCCGCAGCGCCTCGGGGCGACCGGCGAAGGGCACTAGGCCCAGCCCGCCCCGGCCCTCCGCTCCCCGCGCTCCGGGCGGGGAGGGGCCGGCGGCCGCAGAGGGCGCGTGCGCGCGGCGGCACCTCCTCCCCCCGGTCGCGAAAGGCGCCATTTTGGCGCTGGGCTCCGGGGACAGCGAGCGCCGGGATAAAGCACCAGCCCGCCCCGGAGCCGGCACTACCAGCCCCCCTCGGCCCGGCTCTCGGCGCCCGCAGCAGTAGGAGCGCGAGGCGGGAAGGGAAAGGAAGGGGTGGGCAGGGGAGGGGAGGATGCCGCGCACGCCCCGCCGCTGAGGGAGACGCAGGGGCCCGCCCGCGCTCGCCCCTCGGCCTGGCCTGCGAGTGCCGCCTCCGCCATGTCGTCGGCCGCGCGCTTCGACTCGGCGGACCGCTCGAGCTGGTACGTGGGGCCCGTGTCGCGGGCCGAGGCGCAGACGCGGCTGCAGGGGCAGCGCCACGGCATGTTCCTGGTGCGGGACTCGTCCACCTGCCCCGGTGACTACGTGCTGTCCGTGTCCGAGAACTCACGCGTCTCGCACTACATCATCAACTCGCTGCCCAACCGCCGCTTCAAGATCGGCGACCAGGAGTTCGAGCACCTGCCCGCGCTGCTCGACTTCTACAAGATCCACTACCTGGACACCACCACGCTCATCGAGCCCGCGCCCAGGTACGGATCCCCGCCCCGCATGGCCCCTCCGCGCCGCCGTCCAGGTGCGCCCAGGTGAGGCCGCGCTGCGCTGCCCTGGGCCTGGCCCGGCCCGCTGCGGCCGTGGGGAGGGCGTGGCCGACGCAGGAAGCTGGTCCGCCCGGAGCCTGGGCGCTGCCTCTTGGTCATGGGCTCGGCCCAGGCGCCGCGGGCTTACCCGTGCTGTGGTCCTCTCCTGCCCGCGCCTTTCAGGGCGGTTTAAGCCCCGGCAGTGCGGTGGGCAGCCCTGCTTGACTCATCACATGATGTAATGACATTCATGACTGATCTGCTGTACTCGGGGAGGTGAATTTTACCAACTTACATTTTAACCCACTAGTCTGCTGCATAAACTGGATTCAGTGTTTTAATGTTTATGTTAATGAGCGCCTTATCATTTATTGCCCCCCAGGTGACTCTCCCAGCCTCCTGGAGATTATATCTTAATTCCTGGAGAGTCCAAGGCAGTCTGGGAGGGTTGGCAACCCTACCTGGCAGAGCTGTTCTAGGTGGTGGCTTCATGGTCCTTGGCCTGTTTTTCAGGACTGTGTTTTCCACGTGTTTAAAAGCCGAGCCTCCCTGTGGTGGGGGGCTGAAGGACATGCCGTTGTCTGTCTGACCCTGTGATATGGAAGGGCTCTGTATCTGAACATGTGCACCCCCCCCCCTTAGGCCTGGAAAAGATTGATTTTTGTTTGGGGGAGTGGGGTTTGCAGCAGGCCCATGTTGATGTGTGATGACCCCCCCCCCAGTGTGACTGGTCAGCTAGTGCTTGCCCTGATGTGTGAGGCAGTTCCCAGCTTTTTGCATCCAGTACAGACCCGTACAGCTGAATCATAAGGGAACATAGAAGCAAATATTGATAGGCCAAGTGCTGCTTTTTTTTAAAATGGGGTTTTGGCTTCCTTCCTCTATTTGAGCAGTTTAAACTTCTCACCACTTGCATCTCCTCAAGATTTCTACTCCTGTTCACCTAAATTGATTCTTAATCAGATTTGGACCCAAATTTAGCTTTGCCTTTAATTACTAAGGGTCAGATACTCTTTTGGACAAAAATAAGTGCCTGAAGAAGGAGCAGAGCTTGGAGCTGTCAGGAAAAGCTTCTTGGTCGAGATAGCAAGCAGTGAAGCAGTTCTCTGAGGAATGTGGTAGAAATGTCATTGCTTAAAACTTTGAAAAAATGGTGTATAGGTAACGACTGTGCTTTGGCAGGAAGATGCCTGGGCTCAATGTTCACTGATGCTCCTACACAGCTGCAGGAGCAGTTGGATGGAGACGTCCAGCATTTCTGTACAAGTTTGTCAGTGGAGGAATGTGGCTTGTTGGTGACATTCCTTTGCAGTCTTCACTTACCTTCGGTTGCTGGTTGGGTGCTGTTCTGTGACTGGATTTTCTTTTAACCCATTTGCTATTTTTGATCCTACCAGACTTGATTCAGACAAATGTGTATTTGGTATCTGTTTAGAGGTCTCAAATTGTGCATAGGTGGATTTGCTTCAGTTATATTAATAAGCAGGCAGAAATACTGTAGAAATAAATCCCTCTTCCTACAAAAAGAGTTGGGTTGTCAGTTATGTTGAACTGCTAAGCTTCCTGGTAACTACTGCAATACTGCAGTTTGGACTTATTACAAGAAAAAATCATATTGTACCCACAGCTGTCTAAACCTTTACTGTGAATCTTTGTATTAAAGATTAGAAATGCAGTGACTTGGTTAGGGTCTAAAGTCTTCCTAAAAAGAGGCCACATTCTGGAAGGAAGAGTTCAAGATGTAATAAATATTGAAGAATATGTTATCCACTGGCTCTTCTCTTCAGTGAAGTAACTCACTCCAAGACCTTGGCTGGGTAGAAAAGGGCGTTATGCATAATGCAGAACTACTTGTTGTATAATGAGTGATGGACCCTTAGCAGCATAAACATCTGATGTACAGTAGCATTTTTCTTTACAAGAGCTGACACTATTTACTTCAGTAAACACTTCAGAATTATCTATTTATCAGTAACCTTATTTTGAATCGGCCAAGAGTTTTTGTCCATCATGGCAACTGCCTCCGTGCCCTCTTTTGGTTGCTCTTTGCTTTCAGCCAGCATTAAACTTGTCCACTATGTAATATATTTTTCATGATAACTAGATTTGTGCTTTTTATGTGGGTATAGGAGCAGTGAAGATGCAAACACAAAAGCACCAAAGTACCAGCCACAGGGTTTCTTACCATGTTGTTTAACTCACACTGGTAAATTCTGTCTTGTTTACATTTGTACTTCCCAAGTAATTTCCTCAAGTCATAGTTTCATAGTTTCTAGGGTCGGAAGGGACCTGAGCAGATCATCTAGTCCGCCCCCCTGCCATGGCAGGAAGAGCACTGGGGTCAAATGACCCCAATAAGGTGGTCATCCAACCTCCTCTTAAAACCCCCCAGGGTGGGAGCCTGCACCACCTCACATGGAAGCTGGTTCCAGACCCTAGCCGCCCTGACCGTGAAGTAGCCCCTCCTGATGTCCAGCTTAAATGATGATGTTGGATTAGTGGTGGGCAAAGCACTGAAGAGGCATTTTAGTGAGCTGTAACTGTGAATTATTGTCAGAAGAAGTGAATATGAAGATGGATAGTAAGTGAATGAATGTACTGTAAATCGGGGTGGGGATGTGTCCAAGGTATGGCCAATGGTCAAAATCCAGCCCACAGAGCTGTATTATGCAGCTCCTGATGCTGCCCATGGGTTTCAGTCACCCATAGGCAGGATGCCGGGTATGCAGGATGACCCTGTGTGCTGCATATTGTGCTCACTCCAGATCTGGAATGTGAGGCCAGTCTATGGGTCTAGTCTGGCCTGTAGACTGGCCCTGTGTCAGTCATCAGCCTCACAAATGAGTTTGACACCCCTGCTGTAAACACAAAAGTACTATTTATCCTTCAGTTACATTTCTCACTCAGTTTTATAGCACTAAGGCATACTTTAGTAGGACTCTGCTGTGAGAGAAATTCATGCAGACTACAGGGGATTGGTTATTTAACACAACTTCTGTTGCTGTTTCTGAGATACAAGTGCAGTGAGGTCAGTTAAAACGGTAGCTATGCTTGGGTGTTGTCTTTTGCAATTTCCACAACCCACAAGAGTTTTCAGGCTGTTAGAAGAGCAGTTTCCCAACTTTTCTCTCTGTCTGTGTCTCATCCTCCTTCCTGAGAAGTCATAGTGCCTTGTTTATTTCTGTCCAGTTCTTGTTTAAATAGTAGTACATAGACTACCTGTAATATTAAACTGGCATGATTATTGACTGTTTTAGTGCTGTGTAAGGGCCTGCATAATAGCATCACTTTTGCTAAGCAAAGTTCACAGCAGCAGAGGAACTAGTTTCTTTAATCAAAAAGATAACATTGGACTGTGCAACTGTATAGGTTAGAAACTTTACTTTTAAATAGGGATTTAAAATTCTATGGAAATGGGCATTAGATGACCATATCTGCCCAGAGTACCACACCCTTGCCATGGAAGAGTAGGGTTTTTTTTATAAGCCTTCTACTGCAGAGATTTGGATATGTAAAATAAGGAAAGGATGCTGAGGGTCTTGGGTTTCTTTTTTTGGACAACTGGAGATCTAGGGTTTCTCAGCTACCTGAGCCACTTCAGTACAGAGAATTGTAATTCATCTCCTTTTAAATCTGCAAGTATTTCCCAATATGTGTTTGGGTTTTTTTTTTTGTTTTTTTTTTGGAGTGGGAGGCTGTTGTTTTTAAATAATGGTTGTCTACTTAATTGTTGAAGTGGCTTCTATGTTTTCTGTGCATTGGGACATTTTGTTAATTTAAACTGGTAGCATGTGGATTGCCTTGATTTGAAGAACTCCAAGTCAGGTACTTTGTAGTGAATCTGGAAGAGAACTTTTTGTATCCTTCTCCTAGTTCTCTCTAACTGTAATGAGCATATTTACGGTAACTTCTTAAATGGGTTCTTGGGAGAATAGTCTCTGTGGGTAGTTGCTTTGTACAGTACTTCAAGTAAAATGGTTATAAATTTGACAGCTGAATTTTAGCATCTCTGTCGTCTTCAGTTTTTAATTAAGAGTTTCTGGAGGAAATGGTAAAGTAGACTTAGCAGTACCCAACATAAATATCTACTTGTGATACTAACTTCACTTTGTTTGTTTAATTTGTTTGTTTTATGTTCAGGTATCCAAGTCCACCAATGGGATCTGGAACAGCCCCTGCTATGCCCACTGCAGAGGAAAATGTGGAATATGTTCGGACTCTCTATGACTTCCCTGGGAATGATGCTGAAGATCTTCCATTTAAAAAGGGTGAGATACTGGTAATTGTAGAGAAGCCTGAAGAACAGTGGTGGAGTGCCAGAAACAAGGATGGCCGTGTTGGGATGATCCCTGTTCCTTATGTAGAGAAGCTAGTCAGGTCTTCCCCGCATGGGAAGCATGGGAACAGGAATTCCAACAGTTATGGTATTCCAGAACCTGCCCATGCTTATGCTCAGCCTCAGACCACAAGCCCCCTTCCCTCTGTATCCAGTACTCCTGGAGCAGTGATCAACCCTCTGCCATCAACACAGAATGGACCAGTCTATGCCAAAGCTATTCAAAAAAGAGTACCATGTGCTTATGACAAGACTGCCCTGGCATTGGAGGTAAGGTGTTTTTTTTGTTTGTTTTTTTTTCCCTTCAGTGTTTTTGTTTGTTTGTTTGTTTGTTTGTTTTTCTTTTCTCTCTAAAAGAACAACTTTACTGATGGGTGATCATCTTCCATGTATAAGCAAGCTACATAAACCAATAGTACAAAATTTTGTTCTGTTTTTTTTGTCTCAAATAACTGAAAAGTCTTTCCTCAGTCCAGAAGAGCTTTGCAAAAAGGGTTGCTTCATTCATGCCATTTCCTGTTAGATAGAGCCCAGGGTGCATATAAAAGCCATACCTAACTCATCCTGCTAACTTATCTGTTCAGTAATAACTGTTTTAGAGATGGGGGAGAAAAACTGCCTTAGAAATGTGAAGATCAATGGCTATGGAAGTTACAAACTATTTTCTCAACTGTTTTTCTGCACCTGAACTATGGATGGCTTTTTTTTGGCGGGGGGTGGGAAGGGAAACATGAAGGACCATGGTAGTATTCATAGATGAGAGAACTTGTAGCATCTGTCAGAGAAAGCTAACGCTGTTGCATCAGTTGGCCACAGATTAGTTGTAACTTCAAAAGGCATATGAACTTTCCCCTGACCCTCAGGCACTGAATTCTGCCCAGGTTTTTTGAGTCTTGCTTCTGAGTGGTGTCTGCACTGAGTATATGCCCATTTGCAGCTATTGGTGTAGCTGTACTGATATAAATGTGGTGTAAACAAGTCAAAACTGCTGTTAGTAGTAGTGAATTATTAGCAGCAGTCTATGCTAGAGTTGTTGTGGGGTTTTATCAGTGGCAAGACACCAATGGCTGATATTGGGGTATGTAACTAATGTATACAAGTACAATTTTCAAAAGGGTTCTAGTCCCATTGACTGAGAGCTAGGCACTTGGATTCCATCTTTAAAAAAAAAAAAGAGACTTTTTTGATTTTTAAGTTACTTAAGTGCTTTTGAAAACTATCTGAGACCTAAATTAGCATGTTAGAATGCAAGGCTGCAAAGTAGTCAATATTTGAACATCTTCTGGTGCCATACAGAGCATAAAATTCCAATTCATGCCTCTTTCAGGGATAACTTGATAAAAGCTGTGTCCCCACTGGTCTTTAGGGAACCATGTTTAGACATGCTCTGGCTAAATTAAATTAAAGCAAACCATAGGAATATTTTATCAGTGCTCTAAAACATTTTGGCCTTAACCAGCATGGATGTGGCCACATCACGTTGGAAATGCCATTTGCAGAAAATGGCAGGCAAGGTTCTTTGTGTAAATCTGACATCTCTTATTAGATCAACTCAAGTAGTTAGAAAAATTCTTAGCAAGCTTTTGGGTATAGACACTAGGAAGCAGAAAATGTAATGAAAACTAAGAACAGTTCTCACAGCCTCAGAGCCCATGCAAACAGGATTGAAATGCCTACCATTAAATGTTGCTGGAAAAAACCCCTGTGTTTTAGACAAAAGCCATTTGTAATGGGACATTGCAGATGAATGGTGTAATTTCTCTGTGCACTTCATATATTCTGTCAAATTATTATCTAGCAGTTTTTCTAGCTTATGCACACTTACAAGTTTCCCTAAACTCTTTTTTTTTTCCCTCTCCTTCAGTGTTTCTAAAATCTGTAATTAGGCTGTTGACTTAATGGGGTTAAGGATTAAAAGTGCATCAGGACTTTACAGTGGGAGTGACAGGAGGGAGCCAGAAATCTGCTTATGGGAAAATACATTATATTAGTCTTACACCAGTGATAGGAGCTAATTTTTCTGTGACAAATTTACGAAAGAGCATCTTGCTGAGTGTTTTGTACTTCTGAACACAAAACAAGGCAGGAGATTTGGTGTGGAGTGGAAAATGTCTTATGGAAGCCCCCAAAGGAACTTGTACGGCAGGTGAGTGGGAGAACTGCTTGTAGGGATAACTTAAATAGGTTGTTGTACTACTTTCATAACATAATTATTAGCTTTAGTTCAGGCGGCGTACTTATGACTATCGTGCATGCTGGGGCATCCTGGGGTGCTGCAAAATCTTTTTGAAGGGTGCATGAGGTGTGAGGAGATAACCACAGGCTCAGACTTCTCCCTGCCTGGCCACTGCTGTACCAGAATCCTCTATGTACATAGACATGTTTGTGTGCCCACACCCGAAGCCCAGTTTTTTTCTCCTGCCCAGGCAGGGGGTTGCACTTGAAGATCCACAAGGTCCCTTCTGACCCTACTTCCCTACTTCTGTGATTCTATGAAGCAGGCCTAATACCATAGGTATATCAAGGAGTGCTTAAAAAAAAATACAGCAGTCCAGGGATTCTTATGACCTCCATTCTGATTACCTTGCCTTAAGAGGTATGTCTCTTTAACTGAATATCTAAGACATATGATTAGGCAGAGATTTACTTAACTTCATAGAACTAACTATTCTGGTCCCTTTTAAGGTTGTAGTTTTGGTCTGGACAAAATGAGACTTATTTGGAGTGGAATCCTTTTCTTTAGTGTGTTTATTATTAAGAGCTGATAGAAGAAAACATAATACTAGCTTGTCAGTGTTTTTTTTTTTTAAGCATTGGATGGCTTCCTCTGGTGGTTTAAAGAATGTCTCCTAGTTTTAAGGAATTGTACAACTTATCTTGCTGAGAACTGAAAAACTGCCTGTTGTGCTGATAATGATTAAAGCAGGGGTACCTAATTTTGGGATGAGAATTAACATTTTGAAAAGCTAAGTGGGCTAAGAACCGTTTTTAGAGGGAGAGCAAAGTGTGCAGAAAGGGTAGAAATAGAACTGGAGCATCCAGCAAATTAATCAATTATGACAAGTTGCAGTCTACCAATATAATCTGTAAAAATATAAAGCCAGAAACTGGCAAAATGATGTTGGCTTTATAAACTTGCTCACTTAGTGAAGCATTGAGATCTGTAAGTACTGCCCAGTGGGTCTCTCCTAAAAAGATCTCATTAAGTTGTAGCATCTTTCCAAGGGATACAAAGGGATTCTGTGGCAGAAATAGAATTCTGAATCCCTTTATCTTTTAGTCCACTGTTTTAGCCAAGAGGCATCCTTTTTACATTTTAGAATCTCTGAAAGAAGGAATTGTGGTGGAGGGAAGGGACAGTGTTCTGGAATAGAGTACTCTGTACCTCAGGCTCTGGTTTATGTTGGGCTGCTTTTTCCTCAAAAGAAAGGGGGATGGAAGGAGAAAAGGGGACTCTGAAAGCCACTTAGAGTTTCTGGCAAGCTAAGGAGGTGGTGAGTTCCCTAAAAGCAGAGATTTCCTAGTTTTCTGGATTGAGGGGGTGAGGGCGTTAATTTGCAACTTCATGGCTGATTTTTGACTAGCACTCTAATGAGTTCTCTTACCAGGAAATGAATTTAAGCAATATCTGTGGGTCCAGGGGCTATGCCTGTCTTACCTCTTGGGTACCTCCATTGTTTGCTTTACTGCTGATGGCTCCATGCCCAACATTAGTGGTACCCAACATACTTGCCAGGTCAATCAGTAAGTACTCTCCTCTTGCTTTTAACTCAGTGTGAGCTGTTTCCCTCTAGAACTGATGTTTTAATGTTCAAAACAAGACCCAAGCCTTAAAATATTTAAATTTTTAATTACAAGGCAGCTGCCTGAGGAACAGGGAGGTCTCCTTCAACCTGAAGGCTAACAGTGTTTAAGTCAGAAGTAGGTGCATACACTTCAACAGCCAGAGCCTTCATTAGGGGCAATAGCAATGTTTTGCAGGTCTTTGTCTGCAGACTTAGAATGCCATTGTGTAGATTTACATGACCAATGTTACCTTGGGAACTGCAAGAGTTTTTTGTTTTGTGTTTTTTAAATGGAAGCTTAGAATATGTGGATGTTGCTGTGGCAAGATTCCTTTTCAATATGGACAGTTGCTTTTGAGCCCTACTAAGAGCCAGCTATGCAGCCTGCATCTGCATTATGTTCTTAGTCTTAAGTTTCCTACAGCATTTGTTTCAGGTGGTATTTGAATGTGAGCGTATACCTGTGGAAAAATGTCTTAGTATGTTGTTGGAGTTTTTCAGTGAAATAAATGCAGCTGTTCACCTTAATTATATCATTGACTTTTAACTTTTTTTCTCTTGGGCTTGTTACAATTAGGTTGCAAAGAAAACAATTAAATTGCAAAGGTAAATTGAGACAAGTAGGGCAAAATGTGCCAGTAGTTGGAACCTCTTTAATTCCCTTGCTGAAGTTGTACAAAAATGAGTGGCAAAAAATTAGGCTGCTACTCTGTGTTAAATTCCTGCAGAAATATTTCTGGAAGACAATAATGCAGGTAAAGAGATTTAAAACTACAAGTGCATATATTTATCACATGTACATGCAACATTTACCTAATACCTGCAGTTTGTACTTATCTAGCTGCAGGTATTTGTTATGAAATTACCTTCAGAAAAAGGTCACTGTCCTCATAGGTGCTAATTAGAAGTGTGGTAACTGTTCCAATCCTAACATTGAAGTTGCTACTTTCGACAAAGCCCTTGCTAGTTAGAATATCTCTTTAGAGTAAAATCTCACTTGGCTGTATTGAGAAGCTTTGAGTCCCGTTTTATTTTTTCCTCCTTTTTTTTTTTTTTCTGTCCATCTAAAATACTTATTGTGGGTCTTTCAGGCTGATGTTGGAGTGTGCCCAACACCACTATAGGAAGAAGTGCTACTTTGCTTATTTACAGATGGGGAAATGAGGCATAGAGGCTAAATTACTTGCCCAAGGTCCTACCCTGGTCTGTCTTTGGCAGAGCTAATAACTTAACCAAGCTATCGCATCCAAGGACTAATTTCCCCAACCAGTGGAGTATTCATTTTGCTTAAGCACCCTTGACACCTGCTTGAGATGTGGCTTGTGCTGCTGCTTGCAAAGCGCCCAAGCTTGGGGTGGAGGTTCTAAGGTTGGTTTGAGCTACCTCTTTTGCCCTCTCAATTCTAGATAATGCCAGCAGCTCATCTAAAATCTGGTAGTCAGTCTGTCTTCATTTTATTAGGGGATGCTGCACTGCTTACAATTG